AGCAAAGCTTTTAATGACCATAGACAGAGAAAACAAGATATTCCGTGACAAAACCAGATTTAAACAATACCTATTCACAAATCCAGCCCTACCAAAAGTACTAGAAGGAAAACAGTGACCCAAGGAAGTTAGCTATACCCACAAAAAATGTGGGCAATAGAAAATCCCACACGAGAAAATCTCTAAGAAGAGAAACATGCACATACAATACCAACAACAACAAACAAAACAAAACAAAAAACCAGGAACTAGCCATCACTGGACATTATTATCCCTTAATATCAAAGGACTCAACTCACCTATAAAAAGACACAGGCTAACAGAATGGATATGAAGACAGAATCTATTCTTCTACAGCATACAAAAAACACCTCGATTTCAAAGACAGACATTACCTCAGAGTAAAGTGTTAGGAAAAGATTTTCCAATCAAATGGACCTAAGAAACAAGCTGGTGTTTCTTAATATCTATTAAAATAGACTTCAACCCAAAAGCAATCAAAAGAGATGAAGAAGGATATTTCATATTGGTCACAGGAAAAATCGATCAAGATGAAGTCTCAATTCTGAGCATCTATACCCACATTTGTAAAAGAAACATTACTAAAGCTTAAATCACACATCAAGTCCCACACACTAATAGTGGGAGACTTCAACACTGCATTCTCACTCAGGAGGAGTAGAAGGCTGGAAATAATAAAATTGAAGGCTGAAATCAATAAAATAGAAGCAAAGAAAACAATACAAAGAGTCAATGAGAAAAAGAGTTGGTTCTTTGAGAAAATCAGCAAGATAGATAAACCTTTATCCAAACTAACCAAAAGACAGATAGAAAATATTCAAATTAACAAAATCAGAAATGAAAATGGATACATAACAAAAGACACTGAGGAAATCCAGAGAATCATCAGGTCATACTTCAAAAACATATACTCGATAAATTGGAAAACTTAAAGGAAATGGACAATTTCTGGATAAATACCACATTCCAAAATTAAGTCAAGACCAGATAAACAACTTAATATACCTATAATCCCTAAGAAAATAGAAACAGTCATAAAAACTTTCCCAAACAACAACAAAAAGCCCAGGGCCCAATGGTTTCAGTACAAAATTCTATCAGAAGTTCAAAGAAGAGCTAATACCAATATTCCTCAAGGTGTTTCACACAATAGAAACAAAGGAACATTGCTAAAAGTCTACAGTAACCCTGATACACAAACCACACAAAGACACAAACACCTAAGAAAGAAAATTACAGACCATCTCCCTCATCAACATTGATGCAAAAATATTCAAGGAAATACTGGCAAACCAAATCCAAGAACAAATTAGAAAAATCATTCACTTTTGTCAAGTAGGCTTCTTCACAGAGATGTAGGGATGGTTCAACATACTAAAATTTGTCGATGTAATACACCATATAAACAAACTGAAAGAAAAAAACTACATGGTCATCTCATTAGACTCTGAGAAAGCCTTCAACAAAATTCAACACCTCTTCATGATAAAAGTCTTGGAGAGGTCAGGGATATGAGTAACATACCTAAACATAATGAAGGCAATTTACAGCAAGTCAACAGCCAACATCAAACTAAACGGAGAGAAACCCAAAGTGATCCCACTGAAATCAGAAACAGGCCAAAGCTGTCCACTTTCTCCATATCTATTCAATATAGTATTTGAAGTTCTAGCTAGACAACAAAAGGAGACACGGATACAAATTGGAAAAGAAAGAAGTCAAACTTTTGCTATTTACTGATTATATGACAGTATACATAAGTGATCCCCAAAATTCTACCAAGAAACTCCTACATCTGATAAACACCTTCAGCAATGTGGCAGGATACAAGATTAACTCAAAAAATTAGTATCCCTCCTATATACAAATGATAAATGGGATGAGAAAGATATCAGAGAAATATCATCCTTTACAATAGCCACAAACAACATAAAATATCTTGGGGTAACTGTAACCAAACAAGTGAAAGACCTGTATGACAAAAATGGTAAGTCTTTGAAGAACTAAACTGAAGAGGATATAAAAAAATGGAAAGATCTCCCATGCTCTTGGAAAGGCAGGATTAACATAGTTACAAATTGCAATCTTACCAAAAGCAAGCTACAGACTCAATGCAACCCCCATCAAAATCTCAGCATAATTCTCTACAAACCTCAAAAGAACAATACTCAGCTTCATGTGGAAAAACAGAAAACTCAGGATAGCCAATACAATCCTGTACAATAAAGGAACTTATGGGTGCATTACCATCCCTAACTTCAAGTTCTATTATACAGCTACAGTAATGAAAACAGCTTGGTATTGGCATAAAAACAGACAGGTGGACCAAAGAAATCTATTGAAAACCCTGATATTAACCCACACACCTATGATGACCTGATTTTTGACAAAGAAACTAAAATTATACAATGGAAAAAAGAAAGCATCTTCAACAAATGGTGCTGGCATAACTGGAGGTCGACATGTAGAAGAACGCAAATAGATCCATATCTATCACCAGGCATAAAACTCATGTCTATAACGTGTAGTCTTTCCCACCAGCTGCCTGGGTCCTGCTGCTGTCTCTGCCCCCAAATAACACATCGACACACTATATTAATTATAATGCTGTTGGCCGTTTGCTATGATTTCTTATAGGCTAGCTTTGCCTTAATTATTAACCCATAACTGCTAATCTGAGTATTTCCAAGTGGTCTTCTCTTACTGGAGAAAGGGTCCGGACCTCTTACTCCTCTGGTGTCCTATATCGTGACTCACTGTGCCTCTCTTTCCCAGAATCCTCCTCAACTCCTAGTCCCACCTATCTTGCTTCCCTATTGGCCAACAGTGCTTTATTCAACAACCAATAAGACAATATACACAGAAGGACTTCTCCCATCACAAGTTCAGATGGATCTAAGACCTCAATATAAACTCAGCCACACTGAACTCATAGAAGAGAAATTGGGAAGAGAACACTTCCTAAATATACACCAGTAGCACAGACACTGAGAACAACAATGAGTAAATTGTTGAAACTGAGAAGCTTCTGTAAGGCAAAGAATGTGATCAAAAAAACAAAATGGCAACCTACATAATGGGAAAAAATATTCACCAACTCCACATCTGACAGAGGGCTGATCTCCAAGATATACAAAGGACTCAGGAAACTAGTCATCAAAAGATCAAATAATTCAATTGAAAAATGGGCTACAGACATAAACGTAATTCTTACTTAACAAAAGAAACTCAAATGCCTGAAAGACATTTAATGAATTGCTCAGCATCCTAATACATCAGGTAAATGCAAATCAAAATAACTCTGAGATACCATCTCATACCTGTCAGAATGGCCAAGATCACAAACTCTCATGATAACGTATGCTGGAAAGGTTGTGGAATAAGGGGAACATCCTCCATTGCTGGTGGGAATGCAAACTTGTACAGCAGTTTTGGAAATCAGTATGGTGGTTTCTCAGAAATGTGGGAATAAGTCTACCTTAAGATTCAGCAATACCACCTCTTGGGCACATACCCAAAGGATGCACACTCACAGCACAAGGACATTTGTTCAACTATGTTCATAGCAGCATTATTCATAAAAGTCAGAACCTGGAAACAGCCCAGATGCTCCTCAGTCAAAGAATGGATAAGGAAAAATGTGGTACAATGTACAATGGAGTACTACTCATTGGTTAAAAAAAATAATAATGATATCTTGAAATTTCATTGATATCTTGAAATGGATTAACTAGAAAGAAAACATCCTTTAGTGAGGTAACTTAGATCCAGAAAGACAAACATGGTATGTACTCACTCATAAGTGAATATTAGGCATAAAGCAAAAGATAACCAGTCTACAGTCCACAACCCTAGAGAAGCTAGGACCTTTATTCAGTAACTGATGGAAGTAGATGTAGAAATACACAACTATCCACTGGTGTGAGCTCCTGGAGTCCAGTCAAAGAGAGGAAAGAGGTATAATACAAGCAAAGGAGTCAAGACCAGGATGGGGAAACCCACAGAAACAGCTGGCTCGAGGCAGTGGGAGCTCACTGACTCTGGACTGACAACTGGGAAACCTACATAGAACTGAACTAGACTCTCTGAATGCAGGTGACAGTGGGTGGCTTGGGAAGTTTCGGGGGTTACTGGCAGTGAGACCAAAATCTATCCCTAATGCATGAACTGGCTTTTTGGAGCCCATTTCCTATGGAGAGATACCTTCCTCAGTTTAGACACAAGGGGAGGGCCTTGGTCCTGCAGCTATGTGGTGATGGGGCAGGACTTCGTTGACTCCCCATGGGAGGCCTTACCCTCTGTGGGGAACAAAATAGGGGTGGGATAAAGGGAGGGTGGGGGTGCAGAAGGAGGGGAGAGTGGGGACTGGAATTAATATATAGAAAAAAAGAAATAAAAGCTTTACCACAAAAAAAGTGTGACTAGTGTGTGTATAGGAAACAATACCCACTATGTGCATTTTCAGGCGTTTATTGTGGGCCTTGGAATAATTTCTCTCAGATAAATGAACTACTGTATTTGAAGATGATGTTTGGGGAGGTAATCGTTTTCAGTGAAAGCATGGTGGTTACAATTTCATGATGGGATGAGTTAGTATCCTTCCCACTAGAGACAAGTGAACTGACCTGCTACCTCACACCCAGTATGAGCTCATTTTTTCCTATAATTTAAGCAACTTTAAGATAGATCTGCTATTTGCCAATAAATCTTCCCAACAGAAGCCAGATACATTTTCTTTTCAGAACACTAAGCGTAACCCATCAGCAGGTTTACTATTTCAAGCCTCTGATGAAGTTCAAAGAAACCACACTGCTTAGAATATGCAGAGAAACCTTGGGAGAGGGGGGTCAATATTGAGAAATCTATTTACTTTCTTTCCCTGCCAAGTTCCTCCTCCTAGGGCTCAGCTCTTTTATGCAATAGGCCCTAGGATCTATTTTCAAAATAGATTTCAAATAACGTGCCTCTGTCCTGTTCAGAATCACTACCAGAAACTTGAAGCCTCATCTCCCTACTTACTCCACAATGAACTTCAGTGCTGCAAGCCATCGAATACCTCTTAGTGATGGAAACAGCATTCCTGTCATCGGGCTTGGTACCTACTCAGATCCTAGACCGGTATGTACATGTGCGCTGTGTGTTGTCGTCGTTTTGTGTGTGTGTGTGTGTGTGTGTGTGTGTGTGTGTGTGTGTGTGTGTGAAAGGACTTCTCCACACAGTCACCACACAGAAATGAGTCTGCATAGAATAATCCTTCCCTCCTTGAAGTTTGGGGCCATCATTGCTTCCCTGAGTGGTAGCGCATGCTATAAAAGTGGTGAGCATGATGGAGCCAAACTGGTCACTTCATGATGACCGGGAAGAGGACATGAAGTGAAGCGGTGTTGTCAGAGAAGCAACATCGGGGTCTTTCCGAGGTCCATGTGTGGTCACGTCACATTTCCATTCCCTATCAACGGCAAATTCCATGTTCCTTACCCTGCACTCCAAGCCTTCGTAAGTTAGCTGACTTGTCAGTCCAGCCCACCTGCCGTTATCATTCTCCCTACCTGCAAATCAGGATCTAGGGCTGAGGACATGGCCAGGTGGGTGAAGTGTCAACTTCACAAATGTGAGGACCTGCTTTGGGACCCCTGGCACTCACATTAAAAAGCCAGGCATGGTGGTGTGTGCCTCTAACCCCAGTGTTGTTGGAGCATGACAGGTGATTCCCAACGCCTCATTGGTGAGCTAGTCTAGGCAAAACCTGGAACTCCAGATTCAGTGAGAGACCTTGTCTCCAAACAAAACAAAACAAATGGATAAGAATAACAGAAGACTATGGGGCTGGCGAGTTTGGCTCAGTAGGTAAAGGGACTTGCAGTCAATCTGATAATCTGAGTTAAAAACCCTGGGACCAACATAGTAGAAGGAGAGAGCTGACTTCCACAGGTTGTCCTCTGCCTTCCACAACTGCACCACAGAAAGTACCTGAAATAGACCCCTGACCTTCACATACACATTCACAGGTGAGTGTATTCTCACAAACAAATGTATGTATATATATATGTGTGTGTGTGTGTGTGTATGTCATTTACACATTTACACATCTCATTTACTTTGCATGCATACAGACAGACTCAAAACAAAACAAGACTATGATCTGAGTTTTTTAGTAACTCTCCCATGACAACATCTTTGAACACACTGTCTTGTTTCTCTATCTGCTTCGCCCTATCTTTGGACCTGTTCATTTATGTGCTGTTGAACTTGGGGTGTATGTATATACATGAGTGGGTGTGCACATGTGTGTAACTGTGCATATGTGTTTAACTGTGTGTGGAGGCCAGAGGTTGACATTGGGTGTCTTTTTCAGCTGTCCTCCACCTTGTTTTTTGAGATGGCTCACCAGCTGCTACACTGACCGACCAAAGGTCTCCATGGCTGTCTCAAGCCGGCACTGTATCCTCACCGCAGCACTGTGGATACAGACTTACCCTATTGTATTTGGCTTTTCTGTGGGTTCTGGGGATCCAAACTCATGCTAGCATGGCCATGCCGTTTACCAGTTGAGTCATCTCCCAGCCCCATCTACAACATTCTTAATTAAGGCTCAACACCAGAGGAGATCAAAGGATACCTCTTCCCTCTCTCTACCCTGACTTACACGTGTTCACACACAGCCCCTTGTTCTCACTCTATAGCTCTCATCACAACTGTAACTACTGACACCCTGCAATCTTTCTCACTGGCCTGAGATCTTTCCATGAGGAAAAATCACTGCTTGTTCAACTCTAGAGTCTCATGATAATGTCTGGCATATGATGCATGTTCAAATGCTACTTATTAATCCAATGTGAGAGGGATATGCACATCAAAGGGCATGGAGATACAAATAAAGTTTAAAAAAATAATAGCTAGTGTTCCAGACACTTAACTGTGTGTCAGGAACTCTGAACATGTATTGTACTACATGCATTTTCTAATGTAATCCTCATGTTGCAAAATAATGCCAGTTAAGCGCTCTGGCCAACATGAAAACAACATAAAGTGATTGAACACATTGCCCCAGATTAAGTTGCTGAGTCTCAGAGCTGAAATGTGAAGCTGTCATTTTATGTCCAGACATCAGACTCTGCACACTGTTTTAGCAATAGTGGTCAAATCACATTTCCAAAGCTACAATGCCAAGGGCAGCAATCTGGGGTGGATGGAGGAGTCCTGAAGGAGGTATTCGCCATAGTTTCTTTTATCTCCATGATCTTCCATTCATGGCAGCATGGAAGTGGGAACTGTTGAGTGGGCTATAAAACAATGTATCATAGAATGTCCCTTTGAACATGAACTTAAAACTCATTTCTCTTCTCCCCACACTTACCCTCTTCATCACATAAGGTTCCCGGTGAGACGTACATGGCAGTGAAAACCGCCATTGACCGGGGGTACCAGCACATTGATGGGGCCTACCTCTACTACAATGAGCATGAAGTTGGCGAGGCCATCCGAGAAAAGATAGCAGAAGGGAAAGTAAAGAGGGAAGAGATTTTCTACTGTGGAAAGGTAAGTCATTTCTCACTATGTAGATACAGTGAACACATAAGGAGTGTGTGTGGGGGGGGGTTTACAGCTCAGTAGGATAGCCCTCACCTAGCATGCACAAGGACCTAGATATGATCTCAAACATTGGAACACAATAAAAGGAAGGAGAGGAGGAGGAAGAGGAAGAAAAGTGGGCAAATTATCCTCTGAAATACTTTAATTTGCTGAAAAAATATACCTGTGTATTTGTGCACATCAATAAAACATATTATAGTACTTAATGAAATATGACCATAAGTAAACAGAAAGGCCTTGTGTGACTGAGTTCGTGGAAAGGCTGTTTACTTTGGTCCATTAGGATCTGCTTTCAGGGCTTCTCAAGCCCCACCCAAGGGTGGTATAAGGTGGAGGCTGAATGCATAGTCATTACTGCTAAGTGGTTTGGATAAGAATGACCCCCATAGGCTCATAAATTTGCATGCTTAGTCTGCAGCTGGTGAATTGTTTGGGAGGACGTGGGGGTGTAGCTTTGTTGGAGGAGGGGTGTACTTGGAGGAGGTGTGTGGTTAGGGGTGAGCTTTGAGTTTTCAAAAGCCCAAGCCAGGCCCTGTACTCTCTTCACTTACTGCCTGTGGATCATGTAAAGCTCTCAGTTACTGCTCCAATGGCATGTCTGTCTGCCTGCAACAATGATGGTTTAAAACTGTAAGCAATAACAATATAGCTTTAACTATAATATTCTCCAGTTAAACACTTTCTTTTATAAGAGTTGTCTTGGTCATGATGTCTCTTCACAGCAATAGAACAGCGACTAATACAATTGCCCAGGTCAGAAAATGTTCCCCACCACAACATAATGAAACATACTACAACAACTAGCTGTATGGTCCAGCTGTGAGGTGGCATTTAGTTTACACATTTACAAATCTTAGTTTCTCACTTTAGGATGGGAATAATAAAGCCAAGCCTGCTTTATGAATTAGCATTTACAAAGCACTTAAATTATATACCTAGCACAAAACCAATATTTTACATCTTTGTTGAACAAAAGAACATTAAAACAGGGTCTGTAACTCCAGCTACTCAGGAGGCTGAGGCAGGATGATCACGGCTCAATGCCTGCCTGGGCTACAGATAGAGTTCAAAGAGAGCCTAATGTAGCTTAACAAGCCTTCATCTCCAAAGTTAAAAAGGAATTAGGCTGTAGCTCAGTGGTAGTGTTTACCTATTGCGAAAGGCCCTGAGTTCAATCTCCAACATCAACGAAAGAAAAGAAAAAGTGAATTAAAATGGAAAACAGAATTTTCAGTTGGATGGAATGGAAGGGATAATGTCAATGGAGCCCATAGTAGTAACAGAAGAATTTTTCTACTATTCTCTCTCTACTACATTGTTTTTCTATTGTATGCTCCCTCCCCACCATCACTAGGGTTTGAACCCAGGGCCTTGTACATGCAAAGCAAACACTAACTCACTAGACTATATCCCCAGCCTTTTAAATGATATGTGTATATGTATATATAAGTATGTGCAGGTTTTGGGGGTGGGGCAGAAGCCAACTTCGGTTGTCATTCCTCGGTAGTCACCCATCTTGTTTTTGGAGACCTGGGGACCACTGGCTAGGTTAGGCTGGCTGCCAGGCAAGCCACAAGGATCTACTTGTCAATCGATGACTCTCCAGTGCTGTGATTGTGTATAGTGTTTGTGCACATGCTACCAAGCTGGCTTCTTTTTATCTGGGGCAAGGGAATTGAATTTGGGTCTTCATACTTGTATGTCAAGCCCTATACTGACTGAACTACCTCACCAGTCCATTCCCCTAACCCTCCCTTCAACCAACCAACCCTTGCCAAGTTGCCTAATCTGGTCTAGAACTCACTCTGTCTTCCAGGTAGCCCTTGAACCTTCTACCCTTCTGTCACAGCCTCACAAGTAGCTAATATTATAGGTGTGTGCCATTATATCTGATTGGGTTTTTTGTTGTTGTTTATTTGTTGTTTTGTTTTTTTCTTCTGTGCTTTCAAGACAAGAATAAAACCGGGGACTCTAACTTTCCAATTTTATTTCCTATAATAAATAGGGTTTAAAAAGCCAATCCTCTCCCGACCCTCCCACCAAACAGCCGTGAAGCAAAATTAATGCTATACAATGTTACAAATTTATCTGATTACCACTCTGTTGGGAGAAGCCTTCCCGCCAGCCTGGTTTCAGAGCCGCATCAGTCCCAAATGAACACACAGGAGGCTGTATTAATTATGAAGCTGTTGGTCTTGCTTGTTTCTTATTGGCTAGCTCTGACTTAAGTATTTACTCCATAATTGTTAATCTAAGTATTTCTCTTAATGGAGAAAAGGGTCCGGACCTCTTACCCCTATGGCAGCTACATGGTGACTCCCTGTGTTTCTCCTCCCCAGAGTCCTCCTCGACTCCTAGTCCTACCTATCTTGCTTCCCTATTGGCCAACAGTGCTTTATTCAACAACCAATAAGAGACAGATTTCAGAATGCCATCTCCCATCACCACTCTGTGTTTTTCTGCATTGGCAGACCTTACTCATCCACCATCTAACACTTGGGGTGTGGAGTGAAGTCTTAGCAAGAATTGTCAGGATTGCCCTGGGGTGTGTGCCAAGAACAGAGGGCTATCATAGTGGTGTTTACATCCATGCTCAGCCGCAAACACACATGTGTGACATGAAAGGAGCAGATGACGTGTGTATCTGGGATTCATTATGAGAACGTGAGAGTAGATATTACTTGACTATCCTCCTTGATTTTTCTTTCCAGCTGTGGGCTACAGATCTTGACCCAGAGAGGGTCCGCCCAGCCCTGGAAAGGACGCTGCAGAGCCTCAAGCTACAGTATGTGGACCTTTATATCATTGAAATACCCATGGCCTTTAAGGTAAGCTGGGCTCCCTACACTGGGCTCCATTCATTCTTGCTTTAGTAGCACAGAATGCTGCAGTGTTGATACTGTAGATGGGAGGGTGCTGATCTTACCTGGCAAACCCCCAACAAATAATGCTAACAGGTTTGGGCCCAAGTTTCTTTTATTTTTAAAAACGTATTTTTCATTTACACGCCAACCCCAGTTCAACCTCCCTCCCCTGCCTCCCACCCTTCTCACCCCCCTATCCACTCAGAAAGGGCAAAGCCTTCCTTGGGGAGTCAACACAGCATATCAAGTTGAGGCAGGACCAAGCCCCTCCCCCAGTATCAAGGCTGACCAAGGTATCCCACCATAGGGAATCGGCTCCAAAAGGCCAGTTCATGCCCTTGGGATAGTCCTGGTGGCACTGACAGGCCCCCCCCCACCAAAGATCAAATCATAAAATTGTCACCCACAAGCAGAGGATCAAGTTTGGTCCCATGTAGTTTCCCCAGTTGTCAGTCCATAGTCCATGGGCTCCCACTAGCTTGGGCCAGCTGTCTCTGTGGCTTTCCCCATTATGGTCTTAACCACCCGTGTGATGGGGGAAGTCCTGTGTATATGTCAATAAAGCACTGTTGGCCAATAGGGAAGCAAGATAGGTGGGACTAGGAGTTGAGGAGGACTCTGGGTAGGAGAAACACAGGAAGTCAAGATGTAACTGCCATAGGGAGAAGAAGCCCGGAAACCTCTCCGGTAAGGGAAATACTTAGATTAACAATTATGGGGTAAATACTTAAGTCAGAGCTAGCCAGTAAGAAACAAGCAAGGCCAACAGCTTCATAATTAATACAGTGTCTTGTGTGATATTTGGGGACTACAACGCAGCAGAGTCCATGCGACTGGCAGGTGATAAACCAAAGCAGCTAGCAAGGAAAAGCCTCCCTTTACATAATGGTGTCGGCATGTGGGATTGAATTTCCACGTAGAGCGACAAAAGCTTTAAAGGGATTTTAGAAACAAAAGGACAAAGAAAAGCACTGCTTTTTGATAGCAGCATTTTTTTCAGGTGGGCTCTGTTTTGCTAGCGACAAGCACTTACTCATTGTGCTTAAGGGAGTCTTCCTGACTCGGCATAAAAAAAAAAAAGAAAGAAAAAAGAAGAAAAAAAAACAGCAAGGTTCTTTTAAGAGACTCTGCTAACAATTGAAAAGTGTGTACACAGAGCTGGAAGTGGCAGTGACCACATCTCCAAGCCGGCAGCTTTTGCTGGATGTCACCATAGACTGTGACGGTGAGCTGGAATCACGCTTATGCCTGCCATCTTGGAAAAACTGCAGTTTAAACAGCCGTGGTTTTAACAAATAAGATACTTGGCCAGAAAAACATAAAGATTTACAGTAAAGTCAGACTTGGGTAAAGAAAAGCCTCTAAAAGTTTACAATGTGTTTAAAAATATACTTAAGATTGAGAGAGAAAAAGAAACGGCATAGTGGTAAATACAGAAGCCGGCTGTGGTGGTGCAAGCCAGTAGGATCTACTCCAGAGGCAGAGGCAGGCAGATTTCCAAAGAGAAACCCTATCTCAGAGAAAAATAAATAAAAGTAAAAGAAATAAAGTAATAGTAGATAAATAAATAAGCCACACAAAGATGGAAAATACACAGAGAGTCTGGATACTGTATGCTACTGTGTTTTTCAGGTTTTTGATTGCTCAGGAACAACTACTAAAGTACACTTGATTATAAATGCTGCTGAATTAATTCAACTTATATCTTTTGAAAATGCCTTGATTTCAAATTTTAAGTATAAGGATGTTACTTTGGAAAAGAGGTTTTGTTTATGTTCCTACAGAAAATGAAAAGCTGAGGATTCCTTCCAGGCTTCTGTGGTTTGATGAACCAAGACCCCCGGAAGCAGTGGGCCAGGTGTGCCAACAATTGAGACAGCTAAGATGATGGAGCTTCACAGACCCTAAAAATAAGGACTTATACAGGTTTCTGAGTTTTGTCATGATCCCCATGGTATGAACAGGGCCCCCTTCCAGCACGAAGCAGTTTGGAATGAGTGACGTCCTAATTCCCATCTTGTTTTTATAAATCTTTGTTTTCATTTAAATGGGTTGTTTATAATTGGTTAATGATCACAACCAATCTCTTTTTAAAGGAAAAAGGGGTTTATGATATGGAAATGAATACTTTGTATAGGTTTGGTTTTTCATTTATTGATACAAATTCAAGGTCAATTTTGTGATGCATATATTTCTCCTCCTGATTAAGTATTGTGCTTATACTGTTATTTTAAAACACAATGCATAATTAAATACAGACTATAGATAGTTACTTATAATAGTCACAATTTATAGTTAGGTAAGTTAGGTTTTCTAGATATATAGAAATTTGAGATATATAGTATTTGAGACAGATAGATAGACAGTCTTCAAACCTTTCAAAGACCTTCAGAAAATGGCATTTAAAATGCATTAGGGTTTTTCTTGACAATGAGAAATGTCTGCTCCTGGCAGCGCCAATTATGTCTGAGAGGAAGATGGGCATCGAAGAAACTCGTTGTGGAGTTTGCTTTCAACATGGCAAGATTAGCCATTTGGGCAAGAAACTGCTCTTGCCTAGACTTCTTGACTGTTGCTGTATAAACTGGACATGCAGGACCCACAGGAAAGTGACTGTGTTCATGTGATCCCTCATCCCTCTCTTCAACTGAACTCCAGGAGCTCAACCCAGTGCTTGGCTGTGGTTCACTGCATCTGCTTCCATCAGTTATGGATATAGGTTCTAGGATGACAGTTAGTGTAGTCCCTAATCTGATTAAGTGGGAAGGTCAGTTCAGACATCCTTTCCACTATTGCTAGGAGTCTTAGCTGGGGTCATTCTTGTGGATTCCTGAGAATTTCTCTGGCACCAGGTTTCTCCCTAACCCCATAATGGCTCCCTCTATCAAGATCTCTCTTTCATTGCTCTCCCCCTCCACCTCTCCCCCAACTCAGTCTTCTTGATCTCTCATGTTCTCATGCCCCATCCCTTCCTTTCTACCTCCTCCCAGTTTACCCAGGAGATCTTAACTATTTTCCCTTGTTGGGTCCCCCTTCTTACTTAGCTTCTCTGTGGTTGTGGACCGTAGCCTGGTCATCCTTTGCTCTACATCTAATGCCTACTTATGAGTGAATACATACTGTGTTTGTCTTTCTGGTTCTGGGTTACCTTACTCAGAATGTTTTTTTTTCTAGTTCCATCCATTTTCCTGAAAATTTCAAGCTGTCATTGTTTAGTATTACTTTCCAGCTTGGTTCAGGTCCCAAAGAAGAGGGACCTGGAGTCAGTCGGGGAAGTTGGTGACACATGGTGGTGGAGGGGTGGGGGGTTACATGACTGACACTGAGGGTGAATTGGGATGGCTGCCTTTATGTAAAAAAGGATTCACCTTTTATATTCAATAGTTTAGCCACAGGCAAGGTTGAAAGCAGGCTGCTCAATAATGATGCAGGGAGGAAAGCGGCCATCAACTTCATTGAAGCATTTTCGCTGAGACAAAACCTTACGTTCAGCAAGGACCTAAATGTCTATTGTTGTCAAAGGTTCAGAACTCCACTGCCCTGGTCAGTCAGCAGGGACCCTGGGGGAGGGAGTGAGAATGGGGGGACTCGAGAGAGGGAGACAAGGCAGGATTCTGATCAAGTCTCGTTTATTGAAAGTGCCAGCAGGGCTTGAGTAGGGCAGGTGGCAGAAGGGGGGAGCAGAAGTTCCCCTTGGCAGGGTGTGTTCCAAGGACACAAGTCTGCAGCTGGGGGAGTCTGGACTACAGGCCTGGAGAGTATGCTGTACAGGAAGATAAGCAGACACGGAGAAACAGAAACGTAACTAAGTGTTAGTCTCTAGGAATGCGTAGGAATATTAAGATGGCTTCTATTATGCTAGCCTTATTTAGGGCCCTCCATACTCCACCAGGCACCCTCTTACATCAACGGAAGGGCCACAGGTTCTTCCTGCCAGTGATAAGGAGAAAGACTGCTTTTAGCAAGTAAGAACTTTCCTTAAGCCCCTGAGGTAATGGAGACCCTTATCCAAATGCCTGACTGCTGGGGACCAGATACTCTACTGCAATCTAAGAGCAATTTTCATTCCTCGAGGGGTGTGATGCAGCATTTGCACTAAGTCATTCCCTAACAGTGTCCCCTTTTCTCTTAGTCTTGCTACATGGGCCTGTTCCCCCCACACACTCCCAAAAGGGAAGGTCCTGATATCTTACTCTCTTTCCATTGTGCTGTACCATTCGGATTTCTCTACACCCTTGCTCTTACTGACCTCAGACTCTGGATCTGGAGTTCGTCATTGAGGCCAGGTGTGTCCAGTCAGTAAATGTCTAATTTTCCTGTTCTTGGTGTAATCAAGAGGGCACAAGGGGACTCACATGTGCAGAGTCATCATACTATATGGTCCCATGGTTTCAGGGATTTCTTTCCAAAGAATCATTTTGCTTAAAGAAACTGTTACAATTTTTGGTGTGTGTGGGAGGGTAGGGGGTAAACAGACCTTGGCAAATTCCATGGCGAGTGAGGGACAAAGAGGCCAGGCAGTCATAGCTTAATTGAGAAGGTTTATTAGAAAGGGGAGGGAGGGAAGGAGAGGGGGGATGTCTTGTCTGCCCCTTCAGAGGAACAGCAGGAAAGAGGACAGAAGTGGGTGCTTCCTTTTAAAGGGGTCCTTTGCTCCTGCGTGCAGACTACAGTCATGGACCCCTGGGCTGACCAGGGCACTGCCTGAGTGCATTCTGCCAGATGACAGGGGGAGGCCAGAATAATGCCTGAATCCTTATATCCCCACCTTGGTCTAATATTTGAAAAGGTAAGGAGTTATGCATGGCAAATTAGGGAATGAAGGCATCAAGTTCTTGAGACTACTTCCTGCTGACCTGGGGGGGTATTGATGACATTTGGGGAGACCTGAAAAGGCTGGGGTGCTGCCACGTCCTGGGGTAGCTGGTTATTTCATTGCAGTCCAGACTCTATGGAACTCTCTA